TATTTCTGTAGCCGCCGTAAGGTTGGCTATTTCTCACGTATAGGCAAGTGAATGTTCATTCTTCTCCTTTTGAAATTTGCCATCTTTGTTCTAAGTGCTTGCGTTGGTGTTTGAAACGTATTGCTTCTTTTACTTTTCTTCCTTAACGCGCTACAGCATATTTTAGTAACTTTAAAATATGCTTTTTCCTAATTAAATAATATTTTTATTTGTAGAAACTCCGAATTTGTTGAGTAAAGGTTAAATAGCGATTAACTCTTTAAATGGTGGAGGTTTGGATCAAGTGGTCTACTTTTTGAAAATGGGATAAGTAAAAATGTGGAAAGTAAATGGTCAGCAACTCTTAAAAAGGTTGTAGATGTGATAAAAAAATTAAGAACAAATTAATTTTCTCTCAGAGTGAAAATGATCGTAAAAATTCAAATCAACAAGTATTTGGTCAGCGAAGGGAATAAGCATGCCTTTCACTTCAGATCCCGCAGATTTATTATTGCTTTTAGTAGTTATTGCTCTTTTTCATTTTTAGTTTTTGCATTTTCGATTTCATAATATAATAATTTGAAACACTGGTATTTGTAAAATGAAAAATATTTGCTACAGAATTTTGATTTTACAGAAAATTCTTCTTGACTTAAGAAATCCCGTCAAGAGTCGACATCTCGATTCCATTAAAAGGGAACGTTTAGGGGTGATTTTTCAACGCGAAATACTAGAAATTATGGAGCAAAGCAGTGAATTGACAAATTATCGAATTAGTATTTCCAAGGTACCCGAAAAAAACATCATAATTTTAAAAACTCAGAGGCAGAATGCATTTGGTTACTGTTTATAAAATATCTAAATTGGTGATAGCATACGTCCTTTACTATCAAAGACGGTAACTTCTTCAGGTTGCTGTTCCCCCTTCTTTCTCAGAAATTTCTGTTTTCTGGCTTGCCAGAGGTGATGGGACTGACGAGGTAATTTTTTGAGCATTTACAAAAAGTGAAAAGCGAAGTCTGTCTTGTCTTTTTCTTATAAACTCTGAGAATTTATAAAGCTGTTTTAGTAGGCATTTTGCTGAAAAGGTGGTTGTCAGAATATATTTAAAAATTTTGTAGGAAACAGGTAAGGTGCTCGAGTCTTTTGGAAGTTCTATGCGAGCCAAACTGTCTGAAAAATGCGGCTTTATTAAAATTCCAGTAGTCAAATTTGTGATGGACGACAAGGACTTAAGAGAGCAAGTGTGATGGATCTGCTGTTTTTTATCACTTGAAAAAGTTTTTGAAAGCCGTCCCCTAAAGTTTTCTAAGTTTTAGAAACTGGAGAGGTTGTTTCGAGAAGCTGATTACGGTGTGCCGTACAGAACTATAAGCAACACAGCTGAGATTATTGGTGCGGTAAATGTCAATGATCCTGCTTCAAAACCGAGAGATTACAGGACTAGGGACGGGAAGAAAAAGCTTCCGTGGTTACAAAATTCAAAGAGAAGGAAATTGCCACAAAAGGAAAGCGAAGAAGCTGATTTGTTGTGAATTTAAAAACTTTGCAACAGTTTCGACAAAGTGTATGCGGCAGTGTTTTTAAGGTGAGCCATTCGTGCTAATCTGTTACGTTTACAAAATACAAAGTCAGTTGGGAAAATGGGCAGACGAGTAGCACAGTAGTTCCAGTTCTGTTTTTGAGGGTGAAACGGTAAGAGCTGTTTTTTGTTCGATGCGTTTTTTACCTTCGCAACTTTTCTGCATTTTTTTGTTTTTCATGCTTGGTCGCGCGCTTTGTTTTTATACGTAGCTTACCACTAAGACTTCTAGAAATCCCACTTATCTTTTTGAAAATGAATACAGTAGCCTTCACTAAGTCATTGCATTCTGGAAACTACCATATTTACTGTACTTTTGTTTCGTTAAGTCCCAGGTAATCTGTAATAGGTCAGAAAGATTATGCCAGAGGAAATGTTTCAAAGTGGTTTAACTCAAAGAGTTACTATGAAATTTCAAAATGGTTTACTGTGCGAAATTTCTGTACATTTAAATTTGTCTAGTTAAACTATGAAAGGTGAAGCTTGCATTACTAAAAAAGAACATAAACAAATCCAATAAAACTATTGTTTGATGGTCTTTTTGCCAAATTCGTCATCGAATTCCTACTTATTGACTAAATGAATCTTTATTTCAACAAAGTTTTAACCAGTTAAGATTTGAAGTGGCATATTTTGTAGTCATTTTCAGAGTATACGTTAGATGTATAAACTCTAATTGCTTCAATGAATTTACGGTCTAATGTCTATTATTTAAAATTGTCTAACGGGGGTGGGGTACGTCACAATCATTGTGACAGAAGACCATTTATTTTCTACTTTTCCCCTCTCTTCACTGGTATTCTTTGTTGTTTTGCTTCCCTTGTTTTATCTTCTCAATATATCTTTATCACTCGACAGCTGCCCTTCGGAGTCCGTCATCACTGACGAAACTAAAATTTTTTTAGCCTCTTTGGTCCACTGCAGAAATTAAGGAATAGGCGCAGCTGAACGTCGAGTCGCTGTACAAGGGTCATATCGTTGTCAGGATTGATCTCGCACTGTAAATGGCCACAATCTGATGTGAAATGTACAAGGCAGGGAAAGGAACAAATTATTTACTTTAAAAAAAGCTGCTCCGTTCAAGATGACAGAGCTCCTGAATTAAGGAGAATGAATTCAAGTTTTATTGCTTTAAGATATACGGCATCAAATAATCAAAACAAATGTGCAAAATGTACTTGATATGAAATTTGGAGGAGCTAGACAAACCCAGTTTAGCCTTAGGTTACTTTCTTTATAACAGCACAGTCAGCTGGATTTCTTTCCCTACAACATTCTTCAGCTTAAGCGTACGAATGCAACTGCAGCTATTCATACAGGTAATATGTACTTGCTTCTTCTTCTTAAAACCTTCTCTGTTGTCTTCCTCCTCCTGTTGGAGCTCGTCGTTTTTTCCTGAATGGAGTGGTTTAGAAGCCTTATCGGACGATGACTACTCATCGTTTCGCAGCTGAGATACAACGGACCAAATTCACACTCGTCTTCTATCTTGCATGGTTAGAATGCGTTTTCCAGAAACTGTTGTTTGTGAGACTTACGTGAACTTCGGGAGCAACACTGGCAGTTTCTAACTTGCTCTTTAAGATAGTACCCACCACAAGCTTGCGACAAGAAGTAGCTACAATACTAATTATAATTATATGCAAACGGTCCTGCTTCAAAGCACAGTTGAATAAAGAGGCATCTTCAAGACCCTTAGTTAATCTAACCACAAAAAACCGCTGAACTGACATTATTACACATGGGATTTTCATGACCAGACGTTTTAAAGCTATTTGATCAGAGCAGGAATCGACAGCCCGTTACTGAGAGTTACCACCGCCGTTCTGTACTCAACAGACATTTTTTCACGATAACCTGCTTGAAATTCGTGAGCGGTCCTTAGGTAAATTAAAGATGAACACTGTAAGGTTTATCCGCTCCTTAAATAGCAACTAGAAAATTCAAAATAGGTAGTTCATGCTATACTACGCATTCTTAGTGAGTTTTCTTTTTTTAAAATGATCTTAATGAACAGATACGGAGACCGTCTAGAATCCGTAAGACTACGTGAGATGCTATAAATCAGATGGCGAAACCTCATCAGTCGTCTTAGTGCATAACAACTACTCTTTCAGACACACATGAAATGTAGCATTTTAAAAGTCTAATATCTGGCTTTTCTCCAGCGCTTTCTTCAATTATTAGCAGATAAGAGTTTTTTATTCATGGAAATGGTTTCTATCTTCTCTCTGGATAGAACTACTTCAAAAAAATTAAGCAGTAATAGTGTAGCTTTCAATTTTTATTGTGTGTAACTGATTGCAACAGATAAAACTGGTTGCTTTTTTAATACCGCAACACTTCATTAGAACCCACTTCCTTAAATTTTCACGCATCACAATTTTAAGAACTAAAGAGGAAACAGATGGATGTTCCAGTTCGAAGTCTGTTTTAGAGAAGCAAACAACGAAGAGTGGTTATCTGGTGTTTGTCAACGGATCAACAGTAACTTCAAGATTTCAAATGAGAAGATTACAATAAATATTAGCGAAGTGTCTCACCAATCACTTTTTTTCAAAAAAATCTGAAATCTTTTTTGATGAAGACTTTGTTTGATTAGCTTTTTTGGGCGTAGTCTTCCTTATCCCTTTTGATAAATTTGCTACTCTGGAGGAACGTTGAGGTCCACTGCTACTTTTTGAGCTCTTCACTCCAGTGTTGTCTGGTGGAATTTGATGGTAGTAGGCAGTTAATTCCTGAGGGATAACTCGGGTTGAAATAAACCCTTTTCTTTCCATACACTACCATTTATTAAATAATTACCTGTTTAATGTGCGGCGGCATGCTGTCCAAGGTTGATTGAGGTATACTGTCAAAAGATGCAGGTAAAATATCGCTTTCACTGAATCGCTTTTCTTTTCTGGGCTCCTCAGTGAGCCCTCTGTCTTCAGGGGTACACGTCTGCTCAACAAATGATTTATCAGCTGCAGCTAGAACTGCAGATGTGTTACTTAGTTCTACTTCATCTTGCACACCCTCGACGCCGCTGACAGATGGACTCTCCAAGTCTTCCTGAAAGGCAAGCATACTTTGCGAATGCATTATTTGTACTAAAGTTCTGTCCTAAAAGTATGATTCAAAACTGCATCAGAATGTCATTTTAAAGACAATTTTCTTGTATTTAAAAAAAAGTTGTATAGAAAAGAACTTTAAAGAAGAATGACCCCGTCTTCGAAGATGATCGACTCGTCAGAACTTATGAAGTCACCATCGTTAGTAATGTTATCTTTTAGTTCCCTGGACTCATTCTTTTCGGTCATCTCTTTCGTTACATCTTTGACAGGTTTTAACCAGCTTGTAATACTTTTACTTGGTTTTTCAATCCCGGGTTTGAAGTGGTGAGCTGACACATGAATGTTTCGTACCGGTGGAGACCTAACAAAAAATAAGTCATGAGGTAGAACAAACTTTCCCATTTCATCTGAAAAAAATGCAGGGAGGGCATCATTAGTTTACTGATAAAACGCTGCAAAAATGAGACGCTTTCATGCTATAGAAGCCGAGAGAACGCACCAAACATTGCCGGAAGATTTGTTAAACTCTTTTAATAAGCCCCATGCACTCGTAAATACGCATTCATTGTCATAAGACCTTAGTGCCGTAGTTTTAGTTGACTGCTCTTCCTGAGTGCAACCACAGCTCAGCGACTGGGCTGTTCTTTTATTCTGTAAAACATTGTAATTAAGGATGAATGCGTAATATAAAAGAGTTTACAGTCAAGCCATTTCAGAGGTTAAAGCAGTCGAAAACACATCAAGTCATTCAGTAGTCACGTGAAACTTACTTTACTTTGATCGGCGACCATGCGAGCGCAAAGGTCATTGACAAGATTACGCAGCCAAACTTTAACGTCATTTACAGTATTTAAAGCTGCTTTTCCAGTAAAGTTTCTGCTTACAGCGATTGAAAGCTGCTTATCACGAGGTTTAACCGGATCTTCATCGATACCTTCAAAGGCGAGATACTTTAAAACTCGTTTGAGGTAATAACTTACCCCTCCAGCTAAGGAATGGGAAGTGTTAGTGAGTATATTCAATTTACCTTGACATATAAGTTCGATAAAATTCGCTGAACGAGGGAAGTGTTCTAATAAATCATTTCTATCAACTTTTGCGAGTTCTGACATAAACTAAATTCAGAAGATGACTAAATAGCCAACAACAAAGGAAAGTTTTTTGGAAGTGAACAAAAGAAGGATTCGAGCACTTTAACTCCATAGCGGTCAGCTAACTGGTGTCCTAATTTTCCTCCAAGTCCTCTGACATCGCTTATTTTTGTTGTCTCAAAAAGACTAGGTATGAAACTAGGTGCAATAACTGTCTGTTGTTTAGGCTTGTGACGCGAACATACCAACTTTGCAATTATCTGGAATTGACAAGGACACTCTCTAATTGTAAAATGAGTGCAAAATGTACTTCTTACAAAAAGTTCAGTACTTTGTTAGGTCCAATACCAGCAGAACAGTGAAACTGAGTTTTCTCCGCGATCTTACTACGAATTTCTTCAACTATTTCTGCCCCTATAGCCAAACGCAGCTAGAACACGATAATCTTGGCTGCATTAAATAAACAAGCAGGAGTTGAAGAAAACTAAAATACAACCTTGGGCAACATTAAGAAGTTTAGGAAGTACCTGCAGCCGGTCTTTTTGGCATTCATTTAATAGCCAATCTTTTAAATTTGCTTCTCTATCATAATTGTCACTCTTATCAAGTCCATTAGCAATGTGAGTAGTAGGAAGCGAGGAACATGATGAGGAAAACTAAACAAAAACCAGGGCTTTAGTTTCTGTCATTTTTCAGTAGTCTTGATGATAACACATTTTAAACCTTTTCTGCAAAACCGCCTTCCTTCTCTTTAGTATCTACAACGCCAGTCAAGTCAAGATAGCCCTCATCTATTGACGCTCGTTCGACCAGTATTCTGGGGTCAAAATTACACAGCACTTCAAAAACCTCTGCCGACGCGTCTCTAAGGTTAAACATACGTAACGTTCTAGCCAAATCATATAATGAAAATAAAAAAAAAACCTGAAGCGTTTTAAGACTACCTGTATTTGCTTAGTTCAGCTTTTTCAGCATATTTACTTAAAGGAACTCGGCAAATGGTTATCTCCGGACACAGTTCCTTCGCTTCCTCTCCACGCATCCCTCTGCGTATGACACCACAAGCTCTCGCTTCATAAGACATAGCTATTATTCTGCAAAACAATCAAGCATAAACAATTTAAAGACATTAACTGTAACAATTACAATTGTGGAGGGTAAGAAGCAAAGGAAAAAAAGAGGAATTAGTGGCCTATCCATTTCTCGTTATTTATCTAGTTAGCTAATTATTCAACTGAAGGAAGGTTTCGATTAAAATTGCCATTTTAAAAATGAACGTATTGCAAAAATCCAAAATGATCAGAACTAACCCCCCTCCTTGGTACTGGTTGTACTGAACTACCGCTACCGGTTTATTCCACAGTTCAGGTTTCTCTCTCTGTTCAACTTGACAGTAAAAACAGTCCATATCTATCAGTGCAATAATCCTTTCACTTTGAAATTGCGGATCCATATTTAGCTAAAAGATACTGACACATCTGGTTAAAATTCGAATCGACAACGAACTCCAACAAGATAATGAATAATAAAACTTGCGGACGCAGAAATACGTGTAAGTACATGAAAGCCGTTTAAAGCTATATGTAAGGATGAAAACGAGCAAAGATGCCATATTGGTACACTTCTGTAGGCCAAGATGGTACTCATCTGAACAGATGGTTAAAAGAAATGAAAGTAACCAATTCTTATCAATTACCTGTCGTTATTAGACACTTTTTAAAATTTTTACCATCGGTACAATGAAAGCAGTAGTCTCAAAAGTCAATTACCTCACCTTAAGCCCGACAAAGATATCTCCTGTGAAATAGTTTACCCATTACGAACCTTCCATCAATAAAAGTTTTCGTTTAGTTCTCCTCTCTTGTTCTTCAAACGTTCGGCAGGCTTAAGTCTTGAATGTTACCACGAAAGATCTGCCCAGAAGGAGAATACTGTACTTCTTTTTTGTAAAACTAATCAACTTCGACTTCTCTTAGCGCAGCATTAAATCCCCATCCATCATCCCTCAGCAATAAAAGTTCCGCTATATTCAGATAAACTAAGGAAAAAGACTCCTCAACGAATAAATAAAACGCACAGTATTTTTCAAAAACCGTGGTCTCAGGAGCTTAGCATAATTAGTCAACTCAAAGTTTGCTACAATAAATTTATGAGGAATATGCACAGAGAAAAAATGGTAACGTTTTTGTAATTATCTTCAGTTGCTGTCGATGTTTTACGAAATGAGCTTGTAGGACCACCAAATAGCAGCACAGGAGAATAACTCGGACTGAAGAACGGAGTCCGTCCACTTTTCAACCTTAGAAAGTTTGATTATGATCTGCTGCAATTCCGTAGACGCTCAAATAGTTGTCTCTCAAGCTGGTTACTGTAAGATCGCTTTTTATACCAATTAACAGATGATTAGTAAAAGCTATTCCACACACACAACTCCTAAGTTACACTCTAAGTTATTATCTTGCGTCTCCAACGTCTCTTCTGATCTTCTTCTTGAGCTCACTGGAAAATAAGAACAGCGATGGAAGCAGGAAAAGCAGATCTAGAAAAACAACTCCAAAGAATGCGACGCGACCAAGAAAATTACAGTTTGCCTTACGGGTGGGAGTGTTACCTTCCAAAAATGAAAGCACCTGAATTCTGTTTCGCTGTCAGCTGCTGCATCCTACCAAATAATACTTCAACTTCTCATCGAAAAAGCCTTGAATTTATCTATCTGATCATGGCGGAACTCACGAGTTACTTTTTATTGATCAATATTTCTCCTCCGTTCAAGAGACGTTCACTATCAGAATTTTGAATATGCAACCACAACAGGAAAAATCGGTGCTGGCAAAAAGTAAGATTAATGCTTGTATAATTCTTAAAACTACCTGGACCACTCAGACGAAAAATGGGACAGGACAGCTTCGAACCCCAAAAGAAGACACTAACTTCTTCCCAAAGTCTACGTCAGCGTATCACAGCTCTACCCAAAGAACCTACACCTGTTAACCTAGACAAAAAGCTGCTTTCCAAAGCCACCAAACTCAAATTTAAACCAGTCTTTTTTTAAAGACTTCATTGACTTTACCTTGTCTACCCGGGCAATAATGAAACAGCCCTTTAACGTTTCATCGACAAGCCACAAGAGAGGTGTATAGAAATTTCAAGCACAATATTATTCGAAACACTACAGCGAAATAGCCACGAAGCTTCGGAGAAATCATATGAACACTCAATTTGTAAATTTTTATCGGAACAATTATTAGATTCGAAGAAAAGCATTGAAGAGATCATAGTTTAAGCTTAGGTTACATTGCAGACATCAAGATGAAAGATCACCCAGTTAAGACTGAAGGATTACTATTAAAGATGGTCAATTTGAGATTGTTCCATTAACAGCAGCTTACTACCTTAAACAACATTAATATTTCTGACCGCAAACTAAAGTGAAGAACATGAAAAAAATGTATCAGAGATGAATAACGAAAGATTGATAAAAGCACACAAGAAATGAATACTTTTGCTAATTGATCATGACCACAATTATTAATAAATGGAATAAACGACAAACAAAATTTAGTGAATAATACATTTGTCTTCATATTAGACTAGTGCAGTTTTCTTACAACCTCAATGAGTCCCCTAGCCCAGTAGGTTACGGGACTCACGGAATTAATGCTGCTTAAAATGCAAAGCCTTTACTGCTAAAATTTGTGACTGAACACTGCAATTCCAGGACTTTGCATTAACAAAGGTTTAG